AATAAATAAATAAATAAATAAATAAATAAATAAATAAGTAAATAAATAAATAAATCAATTAATTAATTAATTAATTAATAAAAACTCTACACTTTAAGCAAAAATCATATGACGCCTCAATCTGTTGAAAGCAACAGCGCTATTCTCTAAGAATATTACTGTACATAGTTATTTTTAAACAACTCGTCACTTCCGCTAGAAAGAAAATACGGTAAAGTCACGAACATAAATCATAATTTATAGGAATTAAAAGTAGGTTCAGTGACAAAAAACATGAATGTTTGTAAAATCGTGACTGTGACAATTACACCATAAACGTTATTGTAACTATAGTATCGGCACCGATCTAATTCTCTGCACGCGCGTTCTTATGTAACCAGTTTGTACTGCCGCGGCGCTTGCCGCTCGACATGATTCAAGGATCTTCTTTTGTTTTCGCATTACGTAGCAAATGTGGGAAGCGTGCCCCGGTCAATGTCATTTATTGTCCTCTTTAGTGTGAAAGAACGCGACCAGTGTTTGAAGAGTGTGACCGTTTACAGGGGATGAAATATAGACAGAAAATCAAATACTAGTACCTCAACAAATTGAGTCGGTACCAGTTTGCACATACGGATACTGATTGGGTTGACAGATGGGAGACGAAGTAGATAGGGAGACACATTACTGTCGTTTTAAGTGAAAAATATAAATATCTGTTGTAATTAGCAAACCATGGAATCTTCGTGAAAACCACTCTTTCAAGAAACTGTATATGACAATCACAAGTTAAATATCAAATAAAACGTGAACTTCTATTATAGGTCGGATTTGGAGACGTGTCCGGTCTTTTAAACGATCGACTGCGGTTTGTGTGGTAATCAACAAATGACAAAATTCCGTCAATGCTGTGATTAAGAAAAATAATAGAAAAACGCAGTTTCAATGCTGTCGTTGATTGCAGAGATTAAATAGACAAAATAATGTTGTCAATTTAGGCCAAGCTACATTTGTATAGAGCTCTGCACATTACGGACCCTACTTTAGAATTGACGCGACCGATCCATTGTTCATAAATTGCTTTGGGAAGGGTAGCTCAGACAACCCATATTTTACATATATAGGACCCAGGGAGGTCAACCCGAAACATTAAGCCAAGTATCCTTTTCTATAGACGCCAATACTGCCATTATGTACTGAACGCAGCTTTTTTACAATTCAGACTTTGAACTGTTTGGTTTATTTTTGTAAAGAAAATCGGATATAATATTCACGTTGTGCGTGATAAGTCGTGTATGAGCAACGCAAAGTTCGTCTGCTAGCTAGCTAACACCCCCAGTGATAGTGGTCGAGTCTCGTATAGGATTTCTTGAATGGCTTCGAATTCGGCATCGCACTGCTGTTTATCATACGTGCTCTTTTAAAAATATTATTGCTACTCGATTGGTACGATTGCATTACTTGTTCAATATTTTGACGAAAATCAAGAGTTCTTAGCGTGTTCTCGATTCGTAGATGGCCAACATTAGCTTGTATTGGACGCGGATGTTTGGGACAACGGGTGACCAGGTCGACTGCTTTATGCATATTAGCCAGCGTTGAGAAGTCATTGTGTGAGTGGGAGTGATTGTGGGACACTACTATACACACAATCAAGCAGTACACATCGTAGCGTCGAATTCCGGCCGATTTCTACAATTGTTCCAACCCCTGTCGGGGCTGACCCCGGTAACACAGGCACCATAGTTGTATTCCAGCATAGTATGGGGGATTACGTGTCCCCCAAAAGGCGAGCCATCGTGGATCGTCTTAGAAAACGGATCGAGTTATGCCGAAGACACCACAACATTTGCCAGGCCCGCTACGAACGTACACAGGCTGCCAGGTTCGAGCAAGAATCACACGAGACATATCTGCTGCATCGGCGTGTCCTCGAAGCTCGGGCCAAAAAACAGCAGAAGAGTTTAAAACAGGAGCCTGGACAAAACAAGGGAAATTCTCGGTGTGATGCTGGCAGCAGTAACAATACTGGTAGTGGAACGGGGAGCGACTGTAATAGTAATTTACGAAATCAGTTGTTGACGGTAAGATATAATGCACAGCTAGCTGCCTATTATAGTGTTGCTCCTTTATGTTTATTGTCAGTCTGAGCGCTTCATAGCGTTCGACTTTACACTTCGATATTTTCTCACTGACTCCGAAAATGCTAGCGGAAATATACGCAACCCCTCCCTAAACACGACGTCGTTACAACGGTGTTCCGCTTTCAGATCGGAGCGATCGGAAATGGCCCTTAGTTGTGGAGGCCGAGTCGAGGAAGTCATCTGGACTTGTTATGCAGTCAGATTGGGCTGCCATTAGAGTGTGTCGATACCTTTGTGTTGCTGGCGGCTCGCGTTTCCCAAGCACATTTCCACGAGCCGTCTCTGATAGGGTAGACAGTTTCGTTTCAATTTAGTTGACAATTTAACAGGTCGCCCAGGACATCGACGGTATTCATCGTGTCCAGTGTCGTGGGTCCGTGTCATTGACATTAGATCACCGATTTGTTTATATTGCCGAATGATTGGATTTTCCCGTCGTCGGCGGATTGACCTCGCTATCTCGGTCTCTCTAAAGTGGGTTCACTGCTAAATATCTTCACGTTGTTATTAACGTAAACCCAAATAACGTTCTTTTGTCAACAGGGGTGCTATAATGGGTGCGAGTAAATGAGATAAACACTTTAAAATTAAAACATCATCGCTTTATGTTTTTGACGAGTGTGCGGTGCAAATTATGGTAATTTGTTTTTTTGTACGTGTGGGGGTGTTACTCTTTTCTCGGCGTGTGCTTTATGAAAGAGTTTAAACGGGAGTTTTTAATTATCAAGAATTTTCACTCGCCACATTTTGAAACACTATCAAATTACTGTGAAATTTGACCAGGTTTGTCCGTGCGGTGTAACTGTGTTCTAGCGTGTATCCCAAATGCCTTGATTCGCCGTGTCTCCGCCGTGGATGCAGGGCCTCCCAGTGTCGCCTGTTGTTCGCAGACTGTCTGTCTAAATTCTCTTGAAAATAATTGACAGTGTTACATTATTAAACCTAGCGTAGAATGGATGTGTAATGAAATGTTCGCAAAATGACATGCAATAACTTTTCCCTTATATTTAATAAAACATCGGAAAAGTGTGGCGCTCTGAAAAAGGTGTGGGTACAGTCATCTGCTGTGCTATAAAAATCCCAATTTAGGTCAATAATGTCATTTTGTTTAAAAAAAAAATCCCCTGTAGCAATTGAAGCAAGATAGCCGAGAACAGTGAATAAACCTGTCTAAACTCGTTATACTAAAACCTTCGGAATTATTCATCCAATTTTGTTTTGTCCTTGGTGCTAGCCAAAGAGAGGTCAAAATGTAGCTCTTCTATTCTATAAAGAAAGTGTTTGAACCACCATTTAAAATATAGCAAATTATATTTTCAATACTATAGTTCTTTTTTCAAAAGTATGCTCTCTAGAGTAAAATTAATTATTTAAAATTAAAATATTAATTGAAAGCAGGTTTTTTATAATTATCTGTTCACATCAAAAGATGTTTTTCATATTGAAAAATTGTAAAATGTAAAAACTCGTAACGTTATACAACAAATATATTTACATACCTGGGAACTAGTCTATGTAAACTTTGCAATTATATACCTTTAGTATTCTTTTTAAAAACACAAGTGTCAGTTCCTTGGTAGGACAGCCATGTCAAGCACTATTGATCCTGGCCGGCTTTGTGAAGTTCCAAGCCTAGGGGGGCCATTCAAATGTCTACATGCCACAAGTTGGTCGAGAATGCAAATGGACACTTTTTATAGCCCCTGCGGGCAACCATCGGAGACATGCACTGCCTTAGATGAAGCTCCTCTAATATAATAGATGAACGGTGAAAAAAACTGATGCCATTTTTTAATGTAATAATCAGCGTACTGGTTCATATATTGCTGTTAAGACACGGACGCTTTCGAATTTTTTTATAGCTTGCTGAGCATTCATAAAGTGACTGCGACAATTAATGTACACATACAAGGCCTGAGAGTACCTATTTCTCTGCTGAATTATTCATCACAAGGAATGCTAAAATGAAATGTAACAACTACCATTAATGTGTAATTTGAGTTCTGAATCAAAAAAAAGTTCATTATTAACTCTGACTCTTTTTCCACGGGTCATTTATTTTTAAGGTCAGTTTGGGGAGACAGTTACGGTCAATTAATGGTTGTCATGACAACCTCTCAAGCAAATTGACTCTTGACATAAGGACTATATGTCTTTTAAAAAATACAAAAAATTTGATGTGGGTGACTTGGTGTCAGAGGTCACCCGTGCACAAGCGGTGGCCTCTGATGGGGCAGGTTTTTTTAGCTGGTAACCAACCACATTCAATGTAGTTGGAAAATTTTAAATTAAAGAATGGACATCCATTGGATTCATAAAATGACTCCCTTATTCAAAGTAAGTTGAGTAACACCTTGTGGGACAGACCCAGATTTATTGTTTCACTTCAACTCACATAGTTGTGAAAAATTAAATGCAATTATTGCCCAATTGTTCAATAATTTAATTACCACAGACCAAATATCCCCATTCTTAATTTATAATGGGGGATATGCTGCAAAAAATTTGAGATCATGAATGAAATGAACATTTTATTGTTACTTAAAAGTATGTGCGCAGTTATTATAATTGTTCTGTTCAGACTTTAAATAAGTTGTCATGGAAACACTCCTTGAATAAATTCAAAGACTGGTTGTCGCTGTTTTCTCAGTATGGTTCCTGTGCTATTAGATTGGAGTACTTGATGTGTGTCAGAGGTAATTGGCAATTATATGATGAAAACTAATTGAGGAAATATAAGTTAAAAATTGACACTTTAAAGGCCATTATCTATAACTTTTCAACTTGAAATGTTATTTTTACAAGGATATTGGTTTTTGAAATGTTCATGACTCTGGATGTTTCATTCTCATTGATTTGAGAGGTCACATGACCATAAAAATTATTGTTGTGAGGTCAGACATAATTAATGATTTGTTTCTGGTCAGCACAGGCATCTGTTAACACTTTATTTTATTTCTGCCAAAGTACTGTGAAACTGAAAGAAAAAACAGTAAGTAAAAAAAAAAAAAAACAAGACAAAAATGCATGGCACAGTCTCAGAACCAGTGATATAATTTTTTGGTGAATTGGTTTTGAGATTACGTGTCTGTTATAATTGGTAGACAAAATTGTTTTGATTCATTTGGAATTAACAACCTAACACTTGTCATCTGTTATGTCAACTGTATTAACAGCACATTTACATATAAGTGCATGTGCTTTAAAGAGATTGAATAGTCTTAAAAGATGAACTAATGTTTGGAAACCTTGTCTTTAATAAAAAATAAGATGCATGGTTGTTGCCCGGTAATTGATTGCCGTAATTACATGCACGTTGGCTTTAAGTGGTGATTGTGTATACTTGACGTAACTTTACATACTAAACGTCAACCATATCAGTATATGAGAACTACAAGAATTGCACTATCTTTCCTTTTATCATAGTAAAGACCGCAATTTGTCCCAATATGCGAGTCCCGTCATTGTTATTATGAGTCCGCGAAGCAGACGCCAGTTAGCGTGATCCATGACTCTTGATATGAACCGGTACTTCATTCTTTGTATGCTTTAAATAAACATAACATAGACCAGAGTATGCTAAATGAGGATTTTTTGCATTCTTTATTTGATTATTGTATCACTGTGTTTCCGACTTTCTTTGCTTATTACGCGCTCAGGTCCCTAAAGTGTCACAGATAAATATATGTGTGCAAATGAACTGCAAAATCTTGTTTATGGCATTTTAAAATTTGCAGTACTGTCCTGTCCTGTGCAAAATAAAATTTTACAATATTTTGTCCGGTATCACTTACTTATTTGCACTCAGGTTCAAGGAATATGCTAATTGACTAATTATATATGCACATTTAGCTTACACTTAACAAGCATTCACATTATTGCATGAGGTTCATAGAATATGCTAATTGGCTAATTATATATGCACATTTAGCTTGCACTTAACAAGTATTTAGACTATTGCATGCGAGGTTCAAGGATTATGCAAATTAATTTGGTTTTTTAGATAGCTTAGCTTGAAATGCAGATTTCTTTCTACTGTAATAGGTTTGGGAAGTAGAATTTGGAGTTTCTTGGAATTTACTAATTATACAACATGGTGCACATGTAGACAACACATATGTACACACCATTATTAATTCCATTTATTCACATCACATTATTCTTAAATTTTTGTTCAAAATCCAGTCCTTGTTGATTTTGGAGGAACTATTTAGTCAAAATAATCTAATGTTTGTCGATACAATTTAATTTTTATTTTAAATTCACAGCATAGCTGGTCTATAGATTTGAATAATATTGAAAAGATTTCATATTATATTCAATAACAATTTCTGTTCTTTTGTGTATTTTTCGTGTTTAACCTCAACTGTCAGTTACTTCATGTCTGGTAAAATAGTTCTCCTGCGAATGTTTTCTTTTTTCGTTTTTGCTGCTCTACCATTCACCCGTTCTCAGAGATTTTATTGGGAGTCATTTGCTTGTGTTTTTTCTGTGTGAATGTTAAAACAAAGACATTGCATTTACTTTGCTTTCTCATAAAACAGACTTTTGTAATATCAATTAGAGGTGAATGATTGAGGTGGGTACAGAAGGGGTAGCCTGAACGAGAAGCAGCAATGCTAGAAAATAATAATCTGCAAGAAATAAAAAAGGATAAGACTTTTTCCTAAAAAAAAATTCTTGCCTACCCACATCAGTCATAGCTACCCCTAAAAATATAATGGTCCTGCCCTGAGTGATCTCATAAAAAATAAATCAAGTCTGTATAACAATGAAAAATTTTGTTTTTCCTACATACTGGGCATTTCCATATCTAATTTTGTGACAAGTTTCGGTATTTATTTTAAACAAAGGAACAAAGCTCCCATCATTTTTGCTGAGCACATCAAATGGGAAACAAACTAATATTGAACTGTTTTGAAGATTATGGCAAAAATCAA